ATCATTTCATTTTAGTTCAACATGCAAGGTATAAGATTGTATCCTTAATTTGATCAATCATCTAAAACTTTGATCAGTCAAATCCTTATGGAATTCCATATCACAACTGAAATCCAAATTCAATATCACAACAAAAATCCAAATCACACAAGAAAACTTAGAAAAGAAAAAGATTGAGATGTTTCCCTGTTCTGGCTCATCAATTTGTGTGACATCTCCATGAAGTTTGCATGCCATTCAATCACACCCAATTCCCAGATTTAAACGTTGTTGTCCCCAGCAACTAATTTAAATCGAAAACAGCAGAATTGATCACTGAAACACATTCATATATAAACCAATAGCATCAGTACTATCGTAATGTACATCATGCAAAGACAACAAATATCCCAATGTACTTAACTGAATTACAAAAGTACACTAATAGCAAAATAACAGAAGCTAAGAGCAAAATAACAGAAGCTAAAGAGGAGTGAAATCAAAAGTCAATATGAGAGTGTGTGAAACATAAGAGATAACCGTGTAAATCACATAAATGGACCAGCGCTAAAATGTTGAAATCAAGCGTTTTAGCGCTGGTCTCTAAAAACATGTGCACATTGATGTGCGTAGCATTACGCTAAAACGGTCACGTCTGAACATTTTAGCGATCTGAACCAGAATTGTTGAAAATAATAAAAATTCAATCTCAATTATTAATGGTGTCGGTCAATGTTGAAAGAACAAATCCCCGGTAAAGGCGCCAAAAAGTTGTTGCAACTTTAGCAAGTGTACTAGTCATACAAGTAATAAAATTATGAGTAAAGAACGTTTCAACGAGGATTTGTGTTCAAACACCGACCAACCATATATAATTAAGTTGAATCAAACAAGAATTTATTGATTGCATTGATTATTGTCACCAGAAATTGAATTGAATTAAGACTTGATAAAATAAATATAATGTGAATTGTAATTTTAAAAACAAGTAGTCAGAAATCAATGTCCCTCAAGCATGAACTTATATAGAAATCAATCTTATTCTGAATTATCTCTCATGTGATGTCAATCAACCTTTTTCTTGTCATCAAGATGTAATCCCTTACTATCCTGATTGATATATTAATCAAGAACCCCAATCCCTTGGTGATTCCCTTCTTAATGCATGCATTAAACGCTAAGATTTTAAGATTACATCAGAGTCCTAGCATCAATCCCTTGAATACTAGAACACTGATGATGAAATTGCTAGTTACGGAAGCAATGTAAACATTCTTGTTCTACACTACTCCCTTAATGGAAAGAATTGATGAAAACAATTTAATATCATCACATAAAAGATAATCATAATATTCAATCTTCCATACATAAATTCATCCTTGAGTTCCATTGAATCAGACTACAAAGGACTCTACTCAGACATAATAAAAGAAATAACAAGAGAAGAAGAAAGATCAAACTCCATTGTCATGTTGTTGAATCTTCAATCTTCAACAATCTTCAATCTTCATCACAAAGGATTGCTTTGGACGTTTTAGTGCTCAGCACCAGCACTTTTTGGCTTCATTTTGCAGCAGCGCGCTAAAACGTTCGCTTTGGCCGTTTTAGCGCCCAACACTTGAATTCTCCAATTTCTTCAGAATCTTCTCCCTTCTCTCTTTTGCTTCTTGAGCTTCATTTTCCTACAAGAACAATGTAAATTTTCAACATAACATTCAGAACTTGTATTTAGGACTTTCCAGGACATTAACCCTCTTTTCCATCCATTTAATCACATAAATTAAGCTAATTCATGCTTTAAAACCTTATAAACCAAGGGTTTATCAACCGGTTTGCCACAAGTTGCTTTGCCGCAAAATTTTTGCAATGAGCTGTGACCCGAGCTTTATCTATCAGATCCAGCGCCATAGCTATTTTTTTACTGTTTTCTTTTGCATCTTGCGATAAGGCTTGGACCCTTCGCCACGACGGTTCTCTTAACTCCACCGGGATCATGGCCTCTGTACCGTAGGTTAATCTGAGCGGGGTTTCTCCAGTAGAAGTTTGCATTGTGGTTATATACCCCCATAGTACATACCATAATTCTTCTACCCACTTTCCCTTGGTGCATTGCTCCATTCTGTTTCGTAACCCTGCTATGATGACTTGATTTGCCGCCCCGGCTTGTCCGTTAGACTGAGGATGTTCTACAGACGCAAAACGATGCCGGATGTGAAGGTTTGTCATTAATTCTTGGAAAGTTTTGCTTGTGAACTGGGTCCCGTTGTCAGTAATTACTTCAGCTGGAATTCTGAACCTGTAGATTAAGTTCCTCTCAAAGAAACGCTGCACCCTTGCCGTGGTGATTGTTGCCTCTGGTTCTGCTTCTATCCATTTAGTAAAGTAATCAACAGCTACTATCAACCACTTTAACTGCCCTTCAGCTGCTGCGAATGGCCCCAAAAGGCCCATTCCCCATTTAAAGAACGCCCATGGAGCCGTGATTAAAATTAACTCTTTTGGGGGTGCCAACAGGTTCTTTCTGTGTTTCTGGTATTGATCGCACCTCTGCACGTGTTCCTTTGCGTCGTGACTCATATATGGCCAAAAATAACCGGCTCTGAGAGCTTTTCGGGCTAAGGCCTTGCCTCTAACATGCTGGCCATTGATCCCCTCATGGATTTCAGACAGGACGTATTTTCCCTATCCGAGCTTAGACATTTCAGCAAGGGGAAGCAAACCCTTTTTTTTGTAAAGTTGTCCTTCCACCATGGTATATAATGCAACATCTTTGACCAGCTTCCGAGCTTCCTCCTTTTGGGGGGGTAGTGTCCTGTTTTCTATGTAGTCAATGATGGTGTTACGCCAATCATCGACCTCTGTTATCTGCATGACACATGTAGGTTCTGGGATATTTTTCTCAACCACCATCCTGTGGTTTCCCTAACCCTTAGTACTTGCCAGCTTGGCTAGTATATCAGCCCTGCTATTTTCATTTCTTGGAATATGACTGACCTCCATTCTTTCAAACTCCGCTATTAACTGTCTTATGGAGTCCAAGTATTTTGCTAGCAACGGTCCTTTAGCTTGGTAGCTTCCACCAATCTGGGAGGTGACTAGTTGCGAATCACTGTAAATCTGCAACCTCCGTGCTCCAAGCTCTTTAGGCTGCTGAAGGCCAGCTATAAAAGCTTCATATTCAGCCTGGTTGTTTGATGTTTCAAAGTTCATCTGCATGGAGTATTCAATTGCTATTCCTTTCAGATTTTCAATAATAACCTCGGCCTCGCTACCTTTGGAATTAGAAGATCCATCTACATATATTTTCCAGGTGTTCGAGTTTGTTGAATTCCCCATTTGGATTGAAGTAAGCTCCCTAACAAAGTCTGCCAACGCTTGAGATTTAATTGCTTTACGACTTTCGGAAATTATATCAAATTCTGATAGTTCGACAGCCCAAGCCATCATTCTTCCTGCTAAATCCGGCTTGTGAAGGATTTGCCGAATTGGAAGGTCTGACCTGATCGCAACCTGGTGTCCTTGAAAGTATGCTTTGAGTCGTCTAGCCGAGATTAGTAAGGTGAAGGCCGCCTTCTCCAGTTTCTGATATCGGATCTCTGCTCCCTGCAAGAGACGGCTTACAAAGTAAATCGGCTGTTGTCCCTCCTCATTCTCCTGTACTAGGTCCAAGCTGACAACAACTTCCCCCACAGAGAGATACATTATCAGCAGCTCCCCTTCTCTCGGATTGGTTAGATCCGGTGGTGAAGTCAGTTGCTTCTTTTTCTCCTGGAATGCGACTTCACATTTCAGGGTCAATCCATATTTTACCTCCTTGTGCAGCAGCTTGAAAAAAGGTATTGTTGTTTCAGCAGATCGAGGTAGGAATCTAGTAAGGGAAGCTAACCTCCCAGTCAGCTGTTGTATCTCCTTTTTGTTTGTCGGAGACCTCATCTCCAACACGGCTCTGCACTTGTCTGGGTCGACTTCAATGCCCCTGTGAGTCAACATGAACCCAAGAAACTTCCCTGCATGGACTCCAAAAGCACACTTAGTCGGGTTTAATCGGATGCTATGATGCCTTAGTTTTTTGAAGGTCTGTTCCAGATCCTCAATGTGTACTTCTGAGTCAGTCGATTTGACTATCATGTCGTCTATCTACACCTCCACACTTTTGCCTAACTGGTCCGCGAACACCCGATTCATCATTCTTTGGTAGGTGGCTCCTGAGTTTTTTAACCCAAAGGGCATCACATTGTAACAGTAATTAGCCTTTTCTGCGATGAAAGCAGTTTTTTCTTGGTCTTCGGGGTGTAACGGGATTTGATTATACCCCGAATACGCATCCATAAAGGATAGCATCTGGAACCTGGATGAGCTATCAACGAGCTGATCTATATTGGGCATGGGGTATGCATCTTTAGGACATACTTTATTCAGATTTGTGTAATCTGTACACACCCTCTATTTCCCATTTGGCTTTTTGACAATTACCACGTTGGATAGCCAGGTTGTGTATTGTATCTCTCTGATGAACCCTTCTTCCAGCAATTCCTTTATATGATCTTCCAGTACCTGTAGACGTTCCGCTGAGCTTTCTTTTCTTCTAAGCTACTGGCTTAGATCCTGGGTATACTGCGAGCTTGTGACAACAAAAATCAGGGTCCACCCAAAGAATCTCTGAGGATTTCCAAGCGAAAACATCTGTGTTCCTTCTTAGGCACTCAGTAAGTCGAACTTTGTCCTCATTCGCCAACCCCTTTCTGATTTTGGCTGCTTGAGTCCCCTCCCCAATGATTACTTCTTCCAGTTCTCCATCGGGTTCCGGCCTTGGGATCTGAGTGTCATCCCTCATGTCCAACTCTACCATATTGATCGGTGTCTTTCCCTTCTTCCTTGAGCTATCCTGCCTATTACCGGGGTTCACCTCGGCTGAAATCTTAAGGTCATTTCTCACTACCCTAACTGACTTAAAGTAGCAGTCCCGAGATTCTTTTTGATCTCCAGCAATGGTGATGACTGTTTTCTGCTTACCAATCATCTTAAGCTTCTGATGTTTGGTGGAAACCAGCATATCCCAATCTCCAGCTGCCGCTATCCACGAATATTTTCTTGACTTTACAGTTGACTAACGTGCCGGTGATATCTAACCCGTCAACATGTCCTGGCATTATGTCCTCCAATTCTTTCTTAGTAAAATACAGTAGTGGTGCCTCTGGCTCGGCTTTTTTAAACTTAGGCCGCTCTCGTATTGAAAGCACCTCTCGTAAGTACTTTCTTCTGGCGTTCATGGTATCACCTCCTCCACCGAAGGCCCCACTAATCACGTTGCATTCAAACTCAAGTTCTACGAACTCATCCTCTTCTCCGGCCGATTTCTTACCTCGGCCCTCTTCCCTGAATCTCTTTTCCTGTGACGGGCTCATAGGTCGCCCTCCTCTTCTCTTCTTATTATTCTTCCACTCTTGAGTTCTTATCAGATACTGACGCAACTTTCCATCTCTGATATATCTTTCAATTGCGTCTCTGAGATCCCAACATTCATCGGTTGTGTGGCCAGGGCCATCATGAAATGCACAATACCGAGATTGGTCAAGCCCGGCCGGGTTCAGTAATGGCCGAGGCCTATCCACCCTCTTCATTTCAGTGGATGCTACCTCCCTCTAGATTTGTGATCTGGACGAATTCAGAGGCGCATATCTGTCAAATCTCACCTTGTTGAAACTTTCTCTTCTGGCCTTTTACCCCGGAAATCATTTTGCTTTCGATTTCCAGGTTTCTCCATCTGACCGTGGTGTTGCCTTGGGTCTGCATTTTCAAACTCTATTTGTTCCATCTCCAAATTTTTTTGGACCGTGCAGTGAACTCAACTAGAGTTCGTACTGGGTCTTTGTACACAGACTTAGCCAACCTGGAGGAGCCGTGTAGTCTGGCAATCACTAAATGTAGATGAACATTTTCAGACAGCGAATCACTACACACTTGTACGATGGCCTTGGCCAGAGGTGGTGTGTGTGTGCACTATTTTGATTGCGTAAAATAGGGTTATAGAGATTAGTCATACATGTGGTCTTTAGCTCCTATTTATAGGGCTTACCTTTGGGCTTGTGTTGGTTGGGCCTCTCGAAGACATGGCCTTTCCCAGGTCCATAACAATTTCCAAAGGAGTTGACCAATTTCTAGTGTCAGATGATTGTAATATTGCTCTACATGGAGTAAATGAATAAAAGTATGAATTTGAGGCAGGGACAGGGAGCATAAGCACAACCGAATGTGAATCACGTTCTGTATCAGAGTGAGGTTCGACTACATATTGATTTGGAAACCACAATTGATGCCTCACGATCATGGCTTGGGAGAATGATTATCTTCATTGATTACAGGTTACCCACTCCTAACATACCTGCTATTGATTTACTCGTATATGCAATCTGTCAACATTCTATAGATCTCCCAAATGTCTTGAAACTTATGTCATGTGGGTGAACCTCTCCACAAATCATTTGTCTTGTGATTAGGGGTGAAACTGGGCCGGGCCGGCCTACAGGGGCCTACGGCTCGGCCTACATCAGGCCAAACCTGACCTAGTATATTTTGTATAATAGGCCGGGCTTGGGCTTTAAAAAAGCCTGTTTAATAAAAAGGCCGTAGGCCGACTTTCAAAAGGCCGGGCCTATAAGCCTACAGGTCGGCCTATATTGTACTATTTATTTTAAATAAAATAAAATAGAGTAAGTATGCCTTGAAGAAAAAACAAAAGATATAAATTTAATCAATTGCAATTATTTATAACTTAATTATATTCGATTATATTTTAAAAGAAATCTTACTTTATTTCTTATATAGGAGGAACCAACATCTCAACATGTTAGATTGTGTATATGAATATAATAAAAGATTTTTGGGTGAGGTTGTACTTACTCCAAGAATCATGATGTGTTTGTTGGATTCATGTAGTTATTTTAATTTACATAGTATGGATTTGTTTGTTAGATCTGATGAAATATATGTTATTTAGTTTGAGCATTTTGCTTTTGAAAATGACTTAAATACATATTGTATGAGCTTTGTTATGATTCATGATTCTGTTTGGACGTTGAAATTATGATTTTTGGTGTAGCAACATAATTTGAGTACTTTGTAAAGTTGATTTATGGTTCTGCTTGGAAGTTAGAAATTAACAGGCTAACGGGTCAAGCCAGGTCATTTGTTTTTTTATAAACGGGCCAAACCAGGCTAACAGTTAGACTCATACTAGGCTTGAGCTAGCCCAAATTAAAATTTTTTGACGTAGGCTTGGGCTTTTCGGGGCAAAGCTTGGCCCAGCCCAGCCCACTTTCACCCCTACTTGTGATGTTTCAAAGTTTCTGCTAATTCAAAAGCATTAAACAATTTATTTATTATTTTTTTCTTCCTTATTTGGCAAAAAAAAAAAAAAATGCTCCATATTAGACTTTTTTCCCCCTTAATAACATCTTTACAAAAAATACGTTGCGTTCTTTATTGTTAAAAAGGAATGTTCTAAAAATACATTTTATTTTTTAACCATTAATAGAAATATTTTTATAATTAATATTAGTATAATGTATCAATATGAGTGAAAAGTTACATAAATATGTTTATAAATAAAAATAAGAGAAGAACAATAAGGGGATGATAATATATTTATGTTTTTGTATTTGCAGAGATTTCAAAAGATTTTTAATAAATGCGAATTATTTATATTATTACTTAATATTTGATTCAATTAATTTAATATAAATTTTCAAATGTTAAAATAATACTCTCAATTTAATACAATTTATATGGAGTGATCAGAGGATAGGAAAAAAATGACTGAAATTTAATATAATATATTAGGATTCTATCACGTGGGCCCTTTGCAGAGTAAATATGTAATGCTTCCGGACTCATACACTTCCATAGAAAGAGGGAAAGAGAGAGGAAGAAGGAGAAGAAAGAAGAGGAGCAGGGAATTAATTACCCCCTTTGCATGTGCTGCGAGTGAGACCAATCCCACTAAGCCCATCAGTGGGCTGGTCACATTGCCACACCTAACCAGACTCATAAGCTAGTAAAAGCCTAATCTTGCTAAGGGAAATTAAAAAATCATTATATTTTGAAAAAGGAAATAATTCATTATACAAAACAGTTATTTCAAAAAAATTATCTATAAAATAATATAAGAAAATAAAAAACCTTATGTTTTTTAAGCTAATTATATATATCATAATTTTTATTTGTCAAAATATATATAATATCAAAACTATGTTGAGTCTTTATTATTTTGGATGTATTCATTTGGATGGGATCAGAATCATTGAAAATTAAAAATAATTTATTTGAATTCAATAATACTGATTTGATTCTTAAATTATTTTTATATTTAGGAGTTATAATAAAATATGAAATTTGAATTAATTTTAAATAAAAAAATTTCATGATTAAAATAAATCAAATATGAATTGAATTAATTTGTATTAATAATTTACTTTATTATTCTTATTTATAACAGTTTTACGATTTAACTAATAAGGAAAAAATATCAATTTAATAAATCAAATATACTCAATTCAAATGCAATTTTTCTTTGTATGAATTTAAACAATCAAATCAAATCAAACCCAATCCACACAAATTGAACAAAAACTTTTCATTGTACACAATCAAACTAAAAAAAAAACTATTTTATAAATCCAAAATTAAATCATTTAACAACAAAACATGTGGATCAACTTGTAAGGGGTTGTTCCATCTTAACCAAAAATCTTGACTTTGAGTCCTTGGGAATGCAACTGTGTTAAAAACATGGTAGGGAGAGCTTTGTTGCCCATATGGTCCTACTATCGCAACTAGATTGCGACGTACGTTATAACAACCCTCATTAGTAAATTAAGGGAAATGAATTAATTAGGTGATTAACTAAATTAAATACTTATTTAATGAAATTGTGGGAGTTAAATTAATAGACTCATATGATAAATAATAAGAGAATATAGTTCATGTGATACAAGTCTAATAGGACTCAAATATAATTATTAGATATAATTAAGAACATAAATATTTATATGGAGTAAGTTTGGGTTTACCTTGGTAATTAGGCCTAAATATAATTTAGGTTGAATAATTAATTAGTTTAGAGAAATTAGTAAGTTCAAAGTATCTTTAAATTAATTAGAAGATGCATAGATTAATATTTTTAAGATTAAGTCCAAGTTGAATTAAATATCAACCAATAGAAATGCATTTAATTATTAAAGGTCAAAAAGCTTTAAAAAAATGCAATCATCTGGTTCTTTTAAGACTATTAAGTTGTTTTGTTTCTTATGGTAGCATTTCACGCTACTTTATATTATTTTGTGATTTAAGTAACCAATAAAAGTTACTAATAGTTGAACAAATAAGAATAAGGTTTGGAAAGTCAAGGATTTACTAAGTAAAAGAAATATTAATTTAGTTACATTTAGCTTGGTGTTTCATGCTCTTTTATTCATTTTATCTCTTAATGTGCAGCTAACGTTATTTCTTTCTTTCTTTTTAAAAAAAGAAGGTCCAAGTGGTTTAAGTCAGTCAATAAGAATTAGTGTGGATAAGTCAAAAAGGAACTTGATATAAAATACATATATTTTGCTATTCTAGCCCCATAAGTCGACAGCCCTCTTGTGTTGGCCTCCCAAGCTCATTCTTTTCTTTTCTACTCTCCATGTGCATCGAACCTCTATGAAAGAAAAGGGCAAGAGTGCAACTTGTTTTCTAGTCATCTTCCTACTTAGGTTTCTTCATAGAAAGTAAAGGTTATGATGTTGTTAACATATCCCTAGGTGTAGTTCATTGAAAGAAACTCTCTATAGTGAGAAAATCCTCTCCCTGTAATGCGATACACATGCTGTCAAAAGGGGTTTCATGTGGTCTTCTTCACTTCTAAAGCTTGGAAATTGATGAATAGTTGTGTGAGAAGCTAAAGAAGGTAATATATCTTATTTATGGTGAATGGAAATTAGTCTACGATGGGTGTTGGGGCTGTTGTTGTTGGGTTGTATATTGACTATTTGATGAGATATATGTGTGAAGATTAGTTGTTATGTTGTTTGAAGTTTGTTTTGTATGAAATTATTGAAAATAAAAATAGAGGAACCTTGTATATACAAAGAACAAATCAGCCATGTAGGGGGTGAATTATGCAAATCACTTGTTTGATAAAATGCCTAAATAGAACTACAAAAATTTAAGTGACCTAAGGATGATTTAAATGAAGAAAATGATGTTGAGTCACAAGATTTTAGTGTAATCCTGTTTAAGGCAAATCTGCCCTAAGAATGATAATGTGTATGGAAGTGAATTTGTGGGTTTATAATAAGATCATGATAGATTAAAGATTCATGTGTTTGAGCTATATAACGGTTCTATGGCTTAAATTGGAAATGAATCACGTTTTACCTCTCTATGAGGTGTCTCAGCTTTATGGCCTATTTTTGGGTTTGAAGTTATTAATTGGTTGTTCATTAAGTTAATGATGATTGGAACTTGAATAAATGATAAACAAGTGACTAAAAAGGATAGAAAAATTTATATGTTTTATAAAAATCTATGTTGTCATAATTCGGACTACATGGAATGGATAGCATCGGAATTGAGTTTCTTG